GACTGGAACCCGGCGAAGCCCCCGCCCTGCCCGCGTCGCGCCGGCGACCGGCCTCCTCACCCGGCCGGCAGCTGCCTCAGTGACGCCCAGGCGCCGCGGTCCCGCCGTTTGTAGCGGGGCGGGGAGGAGGGGCTTGCTTGGAAGAGCGCCAGGAGGCGGGGCCGGCGGGGAGTTCGCGGCGCCGCGGCTGCCGCCGCTGGCGCGTGCCCTGCCCGGCCGCCCGCCCGTCTGTGCCTGCGAGAAGACGCCCGGCCGCGGCCGCCCGGCTCGGTCCCTCCCGTCTCCCGACTCCGAGCAACCTCCCCGACCAGGTTCCCCTGGCAGCGCGGAGAGCGTCGCGCGCCCAGAGGCGGCAGATTCCAGGTGCAAGTTTGCAAACCCCGAGGTTCCAGGCGCTAACGCGGAGCCAGAACGACTCGCGCGGGGGTTACTTTGATTTATATGTGTATCAAATATACACATATACATATATTACAAGAAGAGTTCAAAGGCTTTCTCTCCACTTCACAACTGAAGCATCCTGTCCCTTGGCAGAAAACTAAAGGCTTAGCCCTGGCTGCCCCTCTCTTTCCCTCTAGATGGAATCTGACGTTCAGATAAGCCCGAGTACCTGTGCGGGGTGCTATACTCTGCTTCAAACGCAAAGTAGGAAATCCTGCACTCGACTATACAAGAGCCTGCCGCTCGCCGCATCCTTCCAACGCGCGCCCCCCCCACCCCGCTCGTTAGCCCCGAAATGGCCAACTCTTCACCGAGGGGGCGTCACATAGCTACCTAGCCTTGGCCCGCCCCCACGCCCAGCTCAATCGCCTTTCCCCAGAAAAACCTGTGCCTGTCCTCAGACTCAGCCCCGCGACTGGGTGGGAGTGAAAACCGGCCCCGAGCCACGCGGTGGGAGCACGTTTTTACACCTGCTCAGCCGCTTAATTACGAGAGCACCTGTCGTGTTGTTGAGGTTGTTTTCATTGCAAAGGCTTCTGTTTTAACCCTTACCCCATAAAAACTACATTTAAAATATCACCTGTCATACCTACCTGAAATTGCAGGAGGTAAGAGAAAGGAACTGAGCAGTGGGCGACTGAGTCGCCGCAAGAACGTGACCGAGGTTACAGCTTCAAGGGCATGATGCGGGTTTGATGCAGCAAGGTCCGCTAAGGGCGCCCGGTGCTCCCCGCCCCCACGCGACGGGCGGAGCGGGGGGAGGGGGGAGACTGGAGGAAGGACTCCTCTAACCCAGGGCGGGGTGGAGGAGGCAAAATTGCTCTGTTGGGCGAAGTCAAATCAGGCATACTACAGTAAGGGGTTTAACCACATCGAAATAGAGACAATCCATCCCTCAGTTTGGGGAACCCAGACTGGGGACACCAGAAATATCTAATTGATTCTATATCAGCATTTCTGTTGTCACCCCAAATCTGATTAGCAATTAAATGACCTTAATTGACTTTGTACGGGGTTACTGGGAAAACTCAAAGCGCCTGCAGCTCTTTGACCTCCCTCTAAACAGTGAATTTTAATATTCCCATCCCTACCATGTGGGATTGCTAAAAATGCCTGTTTCCAAATGTTAGGCAAAAATGGGCCTACCAAATTTGCCAATCCAAGCCTAAAACTCTTAGAATGCCCTACGCCCTACTTTCTGAAGCCGACTTCTTGAAGTTAGTGGGAGACCTCTCTCTCTACAGAGTTCCCCTAGTCTTCCCATCCACTTCGACCTGCAAACGTTGCGCTTTCCTTGGAGAACTCCAGAATAGGTTAAAATGGGGTGCCCAAGCACTTGGTCAAAAGAAGGAAGGAGAACCCAGGAGTGCTTGATGTAAGACAGAATCAGGTAATGACAATAATAACTGCCGAATAGTTACTTTTTTAAATCCTCCAAATAGGCGACTTTTAAACACTCAACATTTTTTTTTCAGACTTATTTGTTCAGATTCCTGGCAAACCTTTCAGATGTCCCATTTAAGAAGCCATTTTGCAAAGGAAGTCTTAGAGGCTCAAATAGATTTTCTACCCTACCATCTCGAAAACATGCACACTATTTTCTTGACCTTTAGGAACTTACTTCCAATTAGGAAAATAATTTATTCGGTTACTATTGTTTTCTCTGTACTCTTCCCCACCCCCCTCGACTTTACGCCTGCATTTTGTAGGATGCAGTTTAGGCCTAAGAAATAAACCACCTCCATCTCCCTCCTATTCCGAATATCCAGAGGATGGGTGTGTGTGTGTGTGTGTGTGTGTGTGTGTGTGTACACACAGATGTGCAAAAGGGCTAAAGGTTTAGAATCGTAACCAACTGGAGTGTTTGCACAGGAGTGGGGGCGGGGAAAGAATCTGAGCATTTCGGGGAGAAAGTAAGAGACATTCATCCCAGCCCAGCAGTGTTAAGAGTAATTATTAAACGGCTGACTATTTCTCTCACTCTGGCCACAATAAAGCCAGATCTGCTGCTGGCAATTACAAGAGAAAATACCCAGTCTCGACAACAGTTTCGCTAACCCGTATTTGAAAATGGCAAACGGGGAACGTATCCAACCTCCAATTTGCCACAGTTGTATAGCTCTCATATTAATTCTTTACAGACGTGAAATAGGTGGGTACGTAGCAACGTGCTGGGCATAAATTAAGCAACAATGGCCACGCGAGGTCCTATTCGCCACGGAGCACCCGTGCTGGGCACTGCCACCTTGCTATCCCCAGATCCCACCGCCCGGGAGATGGCAGAGTCCAGAGGCTGGCCCCAAGTTGGCTTTTAGACCCGGAAGGGTGGGTGGGGTGAAGAGCAGGGAGAAATTAACAACCCTGGCCGGTTTTGTACCTGTTCCCCATTCTCTCCATCTCAAGCACCACACGGGCGCTCTCACACACACTCACCCACACCCCCTCGTGCCAATAATTTAAACTTCTCTTAGGCAAAGGCAGCAGCACCTCGTTCACCACCACCACTACCACCCTCGCCGTCCTCCCCGCCCAGCGAACACCCTCCCCCTTTTCCACATCTACCCTGATTTCTCTTTCTCCTCAGTAGAAAGCCAGCTGGTTTCTCCCAAACCCTGAGAAATCACAAAAGTTAAAAGGAAGCATGCGTCCGCCCAGCGTCTCACCCCCAACCATCTTTCTCCCGGCGTCAGATTAACAATAGCTATTCGAGAAGGGCGGGGGGGGGGGCGGTAAGGAAGGGGGTGAGGGCAACGTAGCTGAGTTGGCTCCTGGGGTGGCTGTGAATAGTCGGGGCTGCGAAGGGGTTCCCCCTCGCCCTGAAGGTGAAGTCAGCCGCGTAGGACCAAGGACAGGGCTTGGAATCCACTTCCCAGCGCCCAGCACAGCAAGACTCCCAGGCAGCCGCCACTCCACAGACACAGCTCCAAGGATCTTATTTACGCTTTTCTGAACAAAGGGAATCTCATATCCGGTACAGGCTTAAGAATTCGGCCCTAAATTGGCTACCTTCTTTTAAAAAATAATCACGGTAACTGGCGCCCATGAATTAGAGCCCGCACACCTAGCAAAGATGAGTTTTGACAGCTTCTACCCACCCCAGCCCCAGCCCAGCCCTAGCCCTCAGGCGGCATGTACTTTTTTCAGTCAACTACAACTAGCAGCCTGGTGCAGCATCTAAATTCCATCTGGCAATCCCATCTCCCCAGCACATGTCATCTGGGTAATGCAATTAAGTGTGGGGTTTTCGCTGGTCTAATCTGCAGTCCAGGCTTCTGATTCCCCTCAATAGTATTAAAGCCTCTCCAGTCCTTTGGTTGCTGTGCTAAAGTAGAGGCATGCATCCCTCAAAACCCAAGTTATCCCTCTCTTCCCACGAAATGAACTTCCAACCTCAATCCCGAAGCTCACTCAACATCTAGACTCCCATTGTACCCCTGCTTTACTCTAGCCACATTTACTCTTAAGTTTCTGCCATTGACATTTACGAAAATTCAATACGTCAAGCATGCGTCCGCCGTCTTTTAGTCTAGCTCTCTAGATTAAAAAGCAGAGCAGTAGCTTTGAAATGAGACAAACATGTGCAATTAACTTCATTTTCTGTATTCCGCTCACTTACAGGTTTTCTGGGTTTGCCAGCGCATCGCTGCAACTAATGATTAAAGAAACCAAACCGAAACTTACCTTTCTCCCTTAAGGTTTTTGTGTATGTGTGTTTTTAAAGTAACGGTGCAGTTCTCCCAATAAGGATGAGCAAGAAGCTGCTGGATAGTTCTCTTAAGACAGCACGAAACCTAAACTGTGCTCGGCTTAAAAGAAGCAAATAAAAAGAAATGCTTTCGACCCCAAAGTCCAACGCTAAAAGAAATGGCGAAAAAAAAATATGAAAGGGGAGGGGAAACTTAAAAAAGAGAGTTTAAAAAGACGGAGAGACTATCCTCCTATTGCCGTTCAACTAAACAAAAAGGGGCAAGAAAAACAAACGAAGGAACAAAGAAAAGAGACGAAAGAACGTTTTTTCAAAAAGACGATGTCTTTCTCCTTGTTGCTTTTTAGTAGGTCGCTACAGGAATAAGCTGCTGCATCTCTAACTGAGAACAGAAATAAGGGGGGAGGACGTCTTAAAAGGGAGGTGGACTGGACCACAGATTTATAGCACCGTATCACCAACCCCTTCTCTGCCTCCGCACTGCCGTGTGTGCAGCTGCTCTGCCAGGCTCCTATCCCGGGCAGCACGCGCGGAAGTATACGCCGAGTGGCGCCACAACGTAACTTGCTCATCTCCCCAGGACCCTGATTGGCCTAGATGCTTCCATTGAGGCCGCCCGGGCGAGCTTCCTTGATATGATTGGCTAGAAGCTTGTGTCACTCTCAATAGCTCAATGGAGTCCCGTTTCAAGGTAAGTTGTGCGGGGAGGTACACACTTAACACTGGCGGCGAAGGGAAATGCAAGAAGCAAAATGAGATGGAAAGAGCAACGTGGGAGGGTTGGAACTGTAGTATCAGAGTTTGCGATATGGCATGATCTTCTTTCCTCTTAAATCTTTGCTTCCGAAAGACTCATTTTCCTTGCCACCACTGCCGCATCTATGGCACGTTTCTTTATAACATTAAACTCTGTCCGGTATGTATGAGTCATTGAGAGCTCCCTCTCTTTGATCTGAGTGAAAGGAATGAATGTACATCCATTACTTACCCGCATGCCTTTTTCGATTTGTGTTCTAGTATTCTGTATTAGATATTAGGCAATATTATATCTTTCTCTATTTTAATATATGCATATTGCAGCTCTCGTTGATTTTTTTAAAGCATCCTTTTAGGATAAGAATGAATTCAGAAATGCTTTCAAATAAAGCTGCACGGTTTGAATTAGCTTTTATTTCATGTTAGAAACGTGTTGGGTAAACATCCTGTCAGGGAAAGAGTTACTAAGTAGAGCTAAGGTCCTTCACTTTGAGGTACATGGTGACTCAAACAGAGCATCTGTTTATAAAATTAAAACAAGCCACTCCTCTGTATTTGCTGGCGGAACAGTTCTTGGACCACACATGTATTGCTGACAGTAAAGATTAGTCGAACCTTTATCAGGGTTCTTTCTCTTAGTATTTAGAAAGTTAAACCAGAAGACCAAATGCTGTCATTGCTTCTGCTTTATAGATGAAGACTACTTTATTAACCACCATATTTTAATACCTTCAGGAGGCTGAAGTTTTGTTCATGGTATTTATTTCTTCCTCCAAGTGAAAGTGTGGTCCTTAGGAACAACTTGATGTATAAGTAGAGACAATATTAACTTGACCTAGGTTCTTTTCCAGCCTGAATTTCTTCTTTTAATCTTGACAGTGCCAACTTCCTAGATAGTACTTATGTTCCTTACATAATGTAACATACCTTCTCTAGATGTTCATGCCTTTCTAAAAGGAATTCCTTTACCTGTTTCCTGCTAGTGGCTATCTTTGAAAATTTGGAAAGAGGAAGCACAGGTAAGAGTTAGAGATTGCGGGAGGGCAGGGTGGGCTGGAGGGTTAGGGACAGATAGTCACAAAGCAAAATGACTACAAAGTGAGGGGTGAAGTAATTCAGAGTTCCTGGAGAGTGTCCTTGAGTGTTGATAAATGATTAATGGCAAAGAACAGAAGACCTGTTTATCTCCCATATAGCCTGTATAATATGTTCAAATTCTATTACTTTGCATGACAATAACGGGGTTGGAAAAGGAGGCCTGAATCTATATGTTATCTTACAATTAGCATTGTTATCTTATAACTTATAATTAACCATGTCCTAATCCCCAGCCCCACTTTTTATATAACAACAAGACTGGGGTCCTAATTTCAACTTAAAACCATTCTCTAGACCTGGGTGGAACTCATGAGAAGAAGAAAGAAAAGCAATTTGAGGAAATGGAGTCAAGGAGCTGAGGGAAGAACAAATCAAGAAAAAAGACAGAAAGACTCCACCTCACCTAAAATAGATTAATCATTATATGAATAAACATCTGGAAGATTGTGTTTGTTATCATCTTCCTTCAAGCCCTCCCCTCACCCCCAGGTCAGTACAGAGAAATAACTCGTAAATAAATACAATTTAAGTAAAAGTATAACACTGTTTAATCAGACTTATTTATGAATTGTCTTTTCTCCTTGTTAATATGCTCTTAAGTTAATGTTGAATCTAGTTGCATGTATTCATGTAATATCCTTGGCACTTTGCAGAAAATCTTTACCATTCACTTACAATTACATAAGTATCTTCTAACTGGGTGGAAACTAATACGTTTTATTTTTTGATGTGTGTTTATTTCCGCAAGAAAGATTTTTGCAGATTACAGTGGTATACTTTCCCAAAGGGGGAGGGTGGATATGGAAACCTGGGTGTGGTGTGGAGTGATGAAAATCTAGCTTGTGTGTTTGGTAGCTAAAGAAATTACTACTGGAAAATAGTAAACTTGTCCATTCAGATGCAAAATGCTAAATTCTGTGGATTCAGTCTATAGCCTTTCTTTAGTTTGGGCAAAGGAGCAAATGCTTTTCAAGATGCTATCTTCAACATGTTTTTTCTATGCAGGTAAAATGGAATTAAATTACTTAAGATATTGAAAATATCTTAAAATACTAGTTTACTTCCTCAATAAAACAGGTGTTTTTAAATGTAAAAACTTTTAAATGGATACATATACCATAAGTAACGTATTTTTCTAGCTTTTAAAAATAAAAATGGAATAGAGCCTATTTAAAATAAGGGATATCTGGGTATGGATTTCACTTTGAAATTCATGTTGTCATAGCCTGAAATACTAACATCTTCTATCTTGCAACTAATAAAGACTATGTATAAACACACACTCCACATTAAGCAATGTAATCGACCCCTTGCATCCATAGTTGGGTAAAGTATTATCCACAGCATCTGAATTTGCATTAGAAAAGCATTTAAAAGACATCTGGGTTATGATTGCCATGTTATCTCTGATATATCTTCAAAGTCTTTGGCATTGTTTTAAGCTGCAGTAGAGAAAGGATGGATCTAGGAGATCATTCATTGAAAGTGTGGAGAAAAAGTTGGTTGTGGAGAAAGTTGCAAAGAGAAAAGTTCTCAAATCTGAAAAAGTAATGAATTCAATAGATTATCTTGCTAAAAGTATTTATATAGGAACACTCATTCATAGGAATACTAATCAGCTATTGTGGGCAATGTCTTTTAGGATAAGTAACTCCTTTACACTATGTGAGGGATGTGATTTTAGCATTTTATGATAAAGAATGTTGTAAACTACTATTGTGACTTTTTTAAAAAGTAAATAAAACAGTAAAGCTATTTAGATGAGTTTACAATATTTGGCTTAGGGCAATAGTTCCAAACATTATACCCTCTCAGGTGAATAAAAATATTGTGTTAGTTTGTTGGGCAGTTTCAGGTGGGGTGTGGGGTCTGTGGTTCATAATGTTGGAAAATTGACAGTTTAATGCCTCTGTGAGAAAAATAGATATTATATAGCTTGCTGGTTATTCTTTTATTTATTCTTCTTAAAGAAGCATGTCAACTTTCCTTCCACAGTGTAGAAAACAGAAAAAAAAAGTTGTCAAGAAAATTAACACTAACTTGAGTTAGTGTATGGCAACCGGGCAAGAGAATGAGGCAGGAATTAGCACCATGGACAGAGACGAGCCCATCCAGAATAAAGGTTTGCAAAGTCTGATAGTGTTTTTTGTCTTTCCTATGTAAGAAACGGAAACGGCAATCCTTGGGACAGACTTTTAAGGAAGACGCTGTCCTACTTCATAGAAGCACATTTATTTTGAATTAGGCTGGCTTTTGCTAGGACTCGGCCTTGGTGACAATCCGCAAGTTGGGTTAAAGTCCCGAATTCGGGTCGCACCTTTCACTGTGCTTCCCATACGCAACCTTGCCCTGGTGAGCCTGCATTTCATCAATGTTCATGCAAAATAAATGCAAATCCAGGTGCTCATCGAAAAGTCTGCTAAATATACTTACGAGTTTTTAATCCTCGAAATTCCCAGGGGGAATCGCAACAAAACCGCCTACCGGCTCCCCCACGCTTCCCCCACCCCCATTTCTCCCCCGGCTCCTTCCACCTACTGGCAAAGGGGCAAAGCCTTTTATCCGAAAGATAAGTGACCTCCGAGACTATTTTGCAAAGGACCCTTTATATTGCAAACACTTTCCATCAGGGACAGTGCCAGAGGCGGCAGTGAGCAGGATCACAAACATCCTTCACTTTCTCTTTACATTTTGTCTGTAAACTACTGTTCGAGGGGAAAACTGTAAAGAGCACATTCGACGAGAATTCCCTTAAAACCTTAGTTTACTGCTCACGTAAAGATATGTGAACTATTTATTTAAATGTTTTTTTTTCCCAAAATGTAATCTAGTGTAGCGGTAAATCTTTTGAGACAAGCTTAGATTGTTCTCCCCACCGCCACACACACACACACACACACACACACACACACACACACACACACACGCTTCCCCCCCACCCCCACCCCGGGCAAAATTTGTATGAAGTTCATTGTCCTTTAGGTGATTTGACTGCAGAGATTCATATTCAGACTAAGATGTGTTGCACGTGCCCCAGAGTGTCTCGAAAAAATATATTTGCAGCTTCGGATCGATGATCATTTATGTAAAGCTTCCCACAAATGTCCTCAGATTTCTTTTCTTCCCCTCTTTTACTCAGTAGCAACTTTTAGCAGGATAAACTCAGGTCTTTGCTGAGCGTGCAAAGGGAGGTCTAGGAGAGGGTGAGGTAAGAAAAACTGGAGGTGAGAAAAGGCAAATCAGAGCTTTGTGCCCGTTTCAGGGATGCTTACAGCTCTCTCTAAGCTTCCTCCTGGAGCCGATACATCTTATGCAAAATTAATACAAGTAATTAAAAATAGCAGTTTCCAAAGTTAAAGGAAACCATCTGTCTCCGCTGGTGGCAATCAGTCTCTCCACCGGCCCCTTTACCGGGACCTGGGAAGAAACGGTTTTTCTGCTTCGGATGCTCCGAGGTTCTTTCTTATATTGAAGATTTATGTTTCCACTTGTGTGCGATGCACGTTTAATTTGAAATAATAAAGCCGGGCTGAGAGACCAGTCAATCAGAGCTATCAACTGCTCTCTGTATGCTGCCCTGCCCCCACTTCCCTCTGGTCTCTAACCCTCTTTCCTTCTCTTACCCTCCCCACATTAGCCTCCCCCTCCCTTTTCCTCCGTCCCCTACTCACTCACACACTCGCACTTTCCCCCCACGTGTGTTCAGATCAAACCCTTGCCCCATAGAGCAAGTGACCGCAACGGGGCACGGTGACAAAGGCGGAGTTTGTATCAGAAGAAGACTGAGGCCGGGGACACACGGCTGCTAGAGAAACAGCTGTCTTATCAGCCCGCTGCAGAGATGGAGATGGCTCGAGAGGTCCTCAACAGATAATCACTTGAATAGGTTTGCAATGCGCCAAACTTCACGCTTGATAAGGCCAACCCAATGTAGAGAGCAGCCCGGATCCTGCTCCATTCTGTTTTATCTGAGCTGTAAATTAAGAAATTGAAATTCAGGTAGCAAAGGCAGCAGTCTGCTGATACACCGTTAAAGTAAACTGTCATTAAAATGCTTGCGGCAGGCAGAGAGGGGGCGCCTGGAATGGGATATTGTTTTGTTTTATTTTTTAATTGGGGGGGGGAGCCATGAGAGAAAAAGCCCACCTGGTTTTAAAAATTATTTGGGGAGGGGGAAATGAGGATTAGCAAAGGGACAGAGCATCTTGATGTAATTCCTAGTCGTAAGCTTCCATGCATAAACAATTTGAAAAGTATAAAGTTGTTGGAAGTTTGGTGAAATATAAAGGAACAATTTAAAAGCAATCTGATGGAAAATAGAATTCTGTCTTTACCAGAAGTTCACAGGACAATGGAAGCTCTCTGGTGACAGTATTAGAAACTGAGTCTAATGGAATCTAAAGTTTTCCCTTTATTGCAAGAAAAACAGATCAACTGGATACAGAGGATTACCATAAACTGAGGTTAACTTGACCTTTTTGTTGATGTGATAGGGCCACCAGAGGGATTCCAGGGTGATTTTTTTAGAATAGTCTAGGGAATTATCGACCACATAAGAGAATCAGCTTAGCTACTTACAGGAATATGGGCTGTATTTCACCTACTTCCCCTTTACCCAGGTTATTACTAAGAGATTAGTAATTCAGGAAACTAAAATATTCCATATGTGTATATTAACATCATGTGGTTCTTAAAGCACACTTTATACCTACACTTCCTATGTCTGCATTTATGGATAGAAGGGATGAAGTTGTAGGCATTATTTGAATCAATGTTTCACAAAAGTTTAAAATGTATAATGACCAGAATATGGCCAGTGACCTTGCTGCCTTGATCCACTAATGACTGTGCACTGTACCTTGTTCTTTTTGTCACTGAGGGGATTGTAAATTCACTGGTGTGCATTTATGAGAGTGTATGACAAGATGCATTTCATTTTATACAACAGCATTTATATCTTAAGTTTTAGCAATATATCTGAAAAGATACCTTCTGATAACACACAGTTAATCAGGCTTTATAAAATCATTCAGTTTTTACTTTGTTTAACCCCAAAACTTTGATCAATGTTGGGATGTACTTAAATTATACTATTAAGGCTGCTTCAATCACAGTGCGATGTGGAAGAATTAAAAATGAATTTGTGAGGAAAAGTAGTGAGAGAAAAAAATAAGGTGCCAGTATACATTTCAGTACTTGTTAAGCAATATATTAAGATATATTAAATTATTGTTTTAAACTTTGCACTTATCTGATTATTCATAGGGAGACGAGCAAATAAATATAAATCAAGGAATCTCAAACACATTTTTCTTTAGTTCCTTATGCAAAAATCCTTCATATCTTCTAACCCAGAAAACAGGTGTTGTTGTTGTTAAATTGAAGTATATGGATGAATGAATGCTGTATGTATTTCCTGCAGGAGAAATTTATGTTTGTGTAAGCTAAATTTTCCCTTCTGTATCACCATTTTCCATAATGTTATATTGGTTTAAATAATG